CATTCTCCTCTTGGGGTCTTGGGCACGCATGCATACATGCCTGGCATAAGGTTAAGGCCACTGGGTCTGGGACTTGAACCATGGTTGACTACATGGGAGTCCAGAGACCTAACCATTATGCCATATACTGGTCTCTGAGATGTTTCTTAAGTGACTTGCCAAGGATCAACAGTTAGTAAAATGGAAATGCCGATATTCAGACCCAAGTCTGTGTGATCCTAAAACTTGTTCCCCTAACTGCCATAAGGATCCAGTCAAACAGACATTGACAGTCAACATAAACATGTTTGAGAGATTATGGCCAAAGAAAAAAAACTAGAAACAAAAGCAATTTTTGAGAGAATTTGGGAGAAGAAAGCCTGGTGGCAGTGATCATCGCCTTTAATACTTGAGGGACTGAGTCATCCCACAGTGGGGAACTAGGCTCAAACTTTGGAAGTTATAGGAAGATTGGTTTGGGTTTCTATGTGCAAAGTTTTTCAGATAATTGTGTCTGAAAATGTTTCAGCTCTTGACCAGGGAGATATTTAAGTAGCAGATGGATTATTATGAACAGAGGGGCTAGTATAGGTCCTGTATGTGAGAGAGGTAGTGGCAGGCACTGGAGAAGGGTAGGAGACCTGAGAGGAGAATTTGAAGTTTCTGATATTTGAATTTTACAAGGATGCCTTAGAAGAAATAAATAAATTAAAAAAAAAAAAAACCTGCAAAAATTAGGGGCCAGCCAATAGCATAGTGGTTAAGGCAGCTGGATCCCACATGGCTAACTGTATGGTTCAAGTCCTAGCTTGAGAAACATGCTGGGCTGTTTGGGTGCATGCCCACAACATCAAAAGTTGCTTGTCTCATCGGCCCCTGACTCACTGTTATCCTCCTCCAGGACTCTGGTGTCTGAAGCTACTCATGCACTATGGATTTTTTTCCTGTGACTTCAGTTCTTTGGTAGCTATGCAGTCCTTTTCCTGGCTCTGGAACTCTCGTGGGACAAGTATTTTTGTAACCTACTGCAGCAGCTGTGTCCTCATTCATTCATTCACTAGCGCTCTGCCCTTCTCTTCCACTTGCAGAGCCAGAGCTGCTCTTCATTTGCTGACTGGGGAGAAGGGGTATTTGTGGATAGTCCCAAAATAGATTACTTTTGTTCTGATAAATAATGCCAAGCACTGCAGGAGAGAGAAAGCACATTTCCCAGAGTTGAAAGGGAGAGTACATACCACAATTTGAATGTCTTCCAAAAAGTTGTCAACTCTCAAGTCTGGCTTTTAGATAATTAAATCCTTAGCTATTGCAAGAGACTCAGAAACCTGAACAATTAAAATGAAAATAGTCCCATCTAGATCTTTCTTCCCATCCAATTCTTCCTCTATATGAAGTGACTCATTAAAAAATATATTCTGGGGGCTGGCAAGTGGTGTGGTGGTTAAGAGTGCTGGACTCTCACGTGGCCGACCGTGGTTCAAGTCCTAGACCTGGCGACTGGCTTTCTCACTTTCCTTCTCTCTCTTACTCTGTCTCTCTCTGGTCAAATTAAAATAAATAAATAAAGTTAAATAAAATAATTATTTAAAAAAATGTATATTCTGTTCACTCTGATTTCTTTTCTGTTTGTCATGGTTAATAGATCTTGGGCCTGGGGAGGGGGACCTTTGTATCATCTGCTCTAACTTCAGGATACATGGCCAGTGATGGGGGAGCTTGCTGAAGTCCTCCCAGGGCTCCCAGTTCCCAAACCTGTCATTTATGCCGGCCAATGTTAGGTTAAGCATATTCCACACATACTTACAAAGTCTTTCAGTATCTCATTTCATAGTGCTATTTTTATTTTTTTTAAAGAGTTTTTTTTTTTTTTTTTTTGCCAGAGGATGCATGCAGTTGCTGGAGCTAGACAGAGACTGTGAGAGAGGAAGTAAGAAATCACTCCCCAAGTGATTTTCAAGCCACCAGATCCGGTGCTCAACCACGATAGGCCTTGTGGGAGTCCAGCGACATAACCGCTTCACCATCTCTTGGTCCTTCTTCCTA